TACTCCCTGTTTTTTACCTCTGGTGCCAGCCAGAGAAACTCCTCTCGTGCAAGATCATGCATTTTTCGGAAGCCTTGAGCAAGCAATTGTCTGCTCCTGCACCACTTTAGGATCCAGGAATGGATACCTTGCTTCCACTCCGTGGGCTCCAGCCTAAGAAAGTGGGGCGAGGTGGGTTGAAGTTTAGCGTTTACAAAGCAAGCGGAATGCGCAGCTGACCTTGAGACGGCGGCGACATGTTCTTCTTTGTGGAGATAGTCCCGCTGTGTAGACAAGAAGAACCTCTGCATAAGAAGCTGCAGCAGCAAAGCACGAAACCGATCACTGTTGCCGAGTTCTTCGCCCTGCCCAGGGGAAGATAGTCGTCAAGTTGTCCGGAAACCTCATCCAAAAACAAGAGCATGCCGACATTTACCTGCATGTAAACAATACCCGTCTACCTCTGCCACTCTGAGATAGATCACAAGAGCATGACCCAACACGATAGTTGGCTTTCTGACTCTGCTAAGCTGCTAAGCTGCCCGCAGTCCTCCAAACGAAGACTGCCTCAGTTGGCGACTTGCTTCCTTGCAGCTGCAAACATGAGGTCTGTGCCGTTCATGCATAAGGCGGGAACGGACACCACTTGTCTCCAGCAAATCCATAATCGCTTAAGATTTCCTGGCCACGGAAAAAGGTAACTACCATGGAAGACATCCCAACAGACGTAGCGGACCCGCACCAAAAGAAGTCCGGGCCGGGAGTTCGTCAGCTCCGGATCCGGAGAGGTAACAGAGCGCTCCTCTGTCCCGGCTCAGTCTCACCTGGGTGGCATATAGTATAATATAATATAGTATACTGTATTATACTATACTATACTATACTATACTATACTATACTATACTATACTGTACTATACTATACTATACTATACTATACTATACTATACTATACTATACTATACTATACTATACTACTATACTCCAATATGCAGCACTGCGGTGCATGCCACAGACTCTCACACCGGGCCATGGACAATGTAGCTGAGTCCTGGCGATCATGATCAATACGACTGGTCTCAGCTACTCAAAGCACCGAGAGAGCCGAGCCTGTGGATGCAAAGTCATCCAAGACGTTGGTCTGGCCGGTGGCATTGGCCCCCAAGTACCTTCAAACGCAAGAAGGCTTGGGAGCATGCCTTGTGCACGCACCGCAGGGCACCAGAACGGTTCGGCCCTCTGGGATAGCCAGTCATGCTCGAGCTCAAAGTCCTCTCCGCGCCAAACATATCTGGGCCCTCGCTGTGGACAGGCCAAGATGACTCTGCTGTCCTGCTCATTCATCATGACGATTGACACCTCTTGGGAGTCTCTGCAACCCAGCAGAATGAGACTGTCACCACCTGGCCTCGGACGTCGTCTGAGCAAACCTCGGGGTCGACGCTTCTGCGTCGCACGCCGACAACCGGTTCAACTGGGGCGTAGGCATTGCACGATCATGAAGCACTGCTGGAACCTCCACCCAACTAGCAGAAGCGAGATGGCGTGTGGCCTACGTGATACCGATAATATAATATAGTATACTGTAATATACTATACTATACTATACTATACTATACTATACTATACTATACTATACTATACTAAGCTATGACAGGCTCGGCCTCCTCACCAAGCAATGCAAATGCCTGGCACTTCAGAAGTCAAAGCGCAAGCTCCGTCCATCTCTCTGCGTGGCCGACGTGGTGCTTCACAGACTGGTGGTGCAGCGATGCATGAATAGCCCCGGAATCCTGACATGGTTTCTCTCACATGCTGGGTGAAATTGTACTCAGAAGTTGCCAAGGCCGAAGCAAAGCCCGATGAGAGGCCTATAAACAAAGGGCGGCCTGTGGATATCAAGTCCTGGCCAGTCGGGTGAATCTGAATCACGACAACGGCTGTGACCAGCAAGGGATCTTGCTTGTACATGGGGGTTTCCGAAAATTAGAGGTACCTTATTTTGGGGTCCTTATAAAAAGGATCCTATTATTTAGGGCACTATATTAGGGTCCCCTAGTTTCGGAAACTCCCACATTCCAGCACGCGGAGGACCGGAGACAGAGCAAAGCTGCTGGACGTAGCCATGAGGAGGAGTCTGTCCGAGCGTGTTCTGCTACCGTGAACGAGTACATACTGGGATCCACAACAAATCGTGCGAAGAACGTTTGTGGATAGGGCCTTGGGGTGCCAGTAGCACATATCTAGAGCTCCTGAGACCAGGCATATGGAATACGTTGAGTAGGATGAGAAGTACGTGTGGAAAGAAAACTTTGCCTTGGGATGATGGGTGCACGATCCCCCCACCCGTGTGGACTGGAATCTGCCAACAAATTGAAGAGCTCAAACGACATTGACCCTCATCATCGTGTCTGGCATCCCTGCTGTCCTCGGTACGAATCTTGACAGCCCGGTTAAAGGCTGTAAAAAAGTCGCTCGTCGAGGTCTTGAACTGTCGCATATCAAACCTCAATGCGGTGATGTGTCGCATGATTTGTTGAATGCTTGACGAGTTCCCGGCTCGAAGACCGAAGTTTCTCTGAGGATACGGAATGTCGTGAGGCACACCGTCAGTACCTGTCAACAAGAGTCAACCTGTCAGTGACCTTTACGGTACTTTGCTCAGGACAGCACCCTATTCGGACCGACCATGTGAATGTTGCCTGCTCCAGCTTGCAGTAATCTCCGCGAATTCTCTGCTTCTCTGCGCTGGGGTCAGCACGCTTGTTGAAGCCAAGTCGGCGCAGTCCGCTCTTGTAGGAGGCAACTGCGATCCTGCAGCGGTTTGACAAAAGTCCGACCCGATACACTAGTATGAACTATTCTTCTGCAGCTGCTGGAGCTACTACTACTACTACTACTACTACTACTACTACCACCGCTACCACTACCACTACTACTCCTTCCTCTGCTATCATGCTCTATAAAAAAAGTAGATGATCTCTTGCTAAAATCCCTGGGGCCACGCCGGCCTCTGCCTGTGTCGAACCAAGGCATACCAGAGGGGCTTCCTGGAATTCTTGATCACAGCTTCAACGGCACACAAGCCGACCCAGGCAGAGCCGAGATTTCGGGTTCGGGCTAGGCAGCTGGGACTCAACACAGCCGGGGCGGCGTGCCGAAGGCATCGCTGGCGAAAATCGCCTGGTCCTTGGTAAAGTCGAAGATGGCGATAGCAAACTCGCCTTCCAAAACCTCGGAGACACAAAATCGCACTGCGGCCGGGAGTGTAGGAAAAGATACCCTTCCAGGGTTGCAATCAAGGCACAAGGGGAAAGGATGCCCCGAGCAAGGCATAAGCCGGAAGGATAGCTTCACCATCCTAAGCTCCAAGTGTTTCAGCCTTTCAGACCCAGCCATGGAAGAGGCGCCGGCAGAGAGAAAGGGTTTGCCGCCTTGCTCCACGGCCGCCTGGCTAAGCTGCCGCCAGTTGTAGATCTCCTCCCCGAGTCGTTTTTGATGGACAACGCTTCCTTATTGAGTACTTAATATACAATACATAATACACATATACATATATATATATATATATGTATATACATATATCTATATACATACATAAATCTATACATATATGTATATATAGACTATGTAATAAGTACGATATAATATATAACATCTGATACAGAGTATATAGTAAATATAATGTAATGTGATGTTATATAATAGACTAGAATAGAATAGAATAGAATGGAATAGAATACAATCCATGCTTTAAAATATTGTTCAAATAGCCTCGAAATAAGTGTTCAGTAGCCCCAAAATAAATGTTCAGTAGCCCCAAAATAAGTGTTGAGTAAGCCCACAACAAGTGTTCAGCAAGCCCAATATAAGTGCTCAATTTACATACCGACTTACCGAGCTTTTCTCCTGCAAAGAGAGCATGCCAATTACTGTTAGAGGCAGCCCCTGGAATATAATTTACTACAACATAATACAATAGACTAGAACAGAATAGAATAGAATATAGCACGATACAGAATAGTATAATATAATATAACATAACAAAATACGAACTAGCAGAATATACGAACTAGTATCAGATAACATGATATAATTTGTGTGGGAAGGCGCACCCCGTTGAAGAGCACCACGATGCGGCCGTCTGCGGAGAAGAAGGGCTGTGTTTTCCTTTCCCCTGTCCTGTGGGCCGCACGCATTATCCTTCACCCGATGCTGCAAGCAGCTCTGCTTCTGTACCTGAGGCTACAGCATGTGCAACAAGTTGTGCACGAAGTCGAACCCCTGAAGCCTGCCACAGGAGATGCTCGAAAGCTCCGCTTGGCATGCAAAAACCTTGAAGCTCAGACCAGTTGCAGGCGGGATGCGGAACCCGAATCAATCATAGACCGGCACTGACGACAGAGAAGAAGACTAATCATCTATCTTAATTGATATGCCTCCACAATGATACCGGTCAGATAGTCCCCAGCTAGCCAAACGCCGATACATAAGACACAAGACCGCCTCACATGGTTCGTCGCATCTGGCCCGCGAGGGCGCAAGAAGAAGTTCACAAACGTCAGGTTTGCAATGAGCCTGGGCAGCGTCAGCTTCGGTGGCATGCAGCAAAGTGTGCAGTCACCTCCACACATGCAAACAGCAGACTCCATGCTGGGGTGACAGCTGGTTTGCAGCCAAGAAGGAGCACATTGCGGCGCAAACGGCGCTCCATGTGCCAGAACGGCGCAGCTCGCGAGGTGCAGATCTAATTCCCGAGCCTTACTTTCCAACGTCCAGTCACTCAAAGCTCGTAAGTGTTTGCGTCGGCTGGGCATCAGAATTTAGATCACAATACCTTCCATGGAGCGCACATGAGGGCAAATCCACCAACTTGTCAATCACCTCTTGTCATACAGATAATGGAAGATTGTCTGGTTCCACTGCATCGACATGCACAGACCCAAGACCTGTGAGCCTGTGTGCGGCGACACGCAGAGACGTCACCGTGCTGACAGGCAAAGCAAAGGGCGAGGGCAGCACTTCTCGTCCTTCAGTCTCATTGCTGGGAGCGGCTTTGCCTCCACAAGCAACTCAAGTGACAAATACCTTCAAAAACTCTCTTTTGGAAACAAAACGCATGAAAATATGTGTGAAGACCACAAAGATTGGCACAGAACTGACCGTCACGATATCCGCGTGCCTTGAGTCGTGTCGGACGCAGGCCCCTCGGAGATACATACACACACATACACATGCACTCAGAAACACATGCAAACTGACGCAGGGACACAGGGAGAGAGAGAGAGAGAGAGTCTCTTTTACACATACACATAGCGTTATAATGTATGGTAGCCCCCCTGTCCCCCCTAGAATCCACACCTTTAGTCCACGTATGTCTAGTCGAGTGTGTCGGTATAGTCCTGGTCTTCACACTTATCTCGTATCTGTGGACTTGTACATGCATTTGCGAATGATGACATACTTGTATCTGCGCATGCTGCACAATACATATGTATATCCGAAACGAGCGCACACAAATTACATTCCTCGAACGAGGCAGTCCCAAAACACAAAAGAACATCAACGTCCATAGACCAAGAAATGACCATATCTCTCGAGTCCCAGAAACACCAATAAAACCAAAGATCTCAGGACCCTCCAGAAACCCGAAATAAGCATTTTTCTCGAGGCAGCCCCAACAAAAACCAGAATACCAAAACTCAGCAGTCCCAAGAAAAACAAGGAAAAGAAGGATTTAGCAACTTTCCAGAAGCTTGAAAGGAGCATACTTCTTGAGGCAGTCCTAAAAATTACAAATATCAAAATCCACAAGCCAAGCAATTGGCATATTTCTCGATACAACCCACCCCTNNAAAAAAAAAAAAAAAAAAACATATTCCAAAGTATTCCAGATAGATTTATGTTCGTTTTTGGTACTGTCTCGAGACATGGCCTTTGGAAAAGACAATCCTGTGGTTTGCTGTCTTTTTGGGGGACTGCCTCGAAAGATATGCTCATTTCTTGACTTTTGGATTTTGGGTTTTTGGGGACTACCTCGAGAGCGGCCAGCTTGTTTGGCATTGAATTAAGACATGGTCTTTGAACAGCCCCAGAGCTTTTTAGGGGGGGGACTGTTTTGAGAGATGTGCTCTTGTTGGCGTTTCGTTATTTTTTGGGACTGTCTCGAGAAATGGACGCTGGCATAGCTCAAGTCGTTGGTTTTGCTGGTTTCTTGGGATGTGCGTATTCTTTGGCCTGTGGATTTTGCCATGTCTTGTTTTTTTTGGGACTGCCTCGAGAGATATGATAATATTGCATGACAAGACATTTCTCCAAAAGAACGCACATGTACATAAGCACCAAAGAAGGCTTTACATGCATTGTAGTTAAACACCAACTTCGTTGATACACCAGCGCTCTGCAAATATGCATGCCCATTCATATCTCAGTTGTTGGATCAAGGTTCATCACATGTTGTGTGTTCGTAGCCTCGTCGCACCTCTGCTCGGGCGCTCTGTAAATATGTTTCTTCCTTCACATATCAACTTGTTAGTGGTTTAAGACACAAGGGAATGTGGTTCAGTATTCGCTTAATAGTTGGCTACCACATGATGCTCTTATAGTTATAACGGGCATTTTACCCATTTGTTTAATCAACACGTCGTTTAAGCTTCATCGCATAATCGGAACCAACAGAGTTTAGATACTCTTTAGATACTACCTCAATGATATGTGTTGAGCATCTAACATTTAATTTGTCGGTTGCTCCTTATCTCACCCATGTGTGCGTCTTATAAACAAACTGTCGGTAAGTGCAAATCTCATGTTGGACTGATATGTGCTTAGCACGTAATATCTACATAAAAAACCTATGTCTAAATCCCGTTCTACAGAAAAGAGAAGCTTTCAGCTAGCCTTCAAATTATACTCGTCTAACACGTAATTTTCACACAAACCTAATCAACATGTCATTACAAAAAACTTCAACTCTATCTAACAATGAAAGAATCTCCACACATCATCCACTTGAAGTGTCTTTTGTCCACTGTCCAGCCTGGCCCAACATACCTGGCTTCTCGACAGGACAATAGTCAACAATTTCAGCCTTTATATGTCGATGATCCCAGTCACCCGCTGGCTTAACTCCTTCTGCCCTTTCACACATCGCCATGCATTATTGCTTATGAGCTATGTGTATATTATGTGTATATGTATGTGTAGGCGTATATGACCTTGACTTCCTTGCATGCCTCTGCATCTTTTAGCGCCACTCTACCAGAGGGCCCAGCGACAAAGAGAAGCACAAGGTGTAGCCAGACTGGGCAGTCATCACGAGGAGGTCCTGTTAATTTTGCGGCTGGGACTATTGCCCACTAACGTCGTGACTACTACTACCTGCAGTTACAAACAGGGAAAGAAATGGTCAAGCTAATACAATTCACAACCGCGCCAGTCCTGCGCAGAGGCACGATGAACCCAGCGAAGCTCATCACCACCTGTTGCTGCCGGAGCCCAAACTGGGAATCTGCTTGGCCTTTCTGACGAAGTCTATTTTTGCTCGGGCTTGTACTCTTCTCATCCAATGGGAAGGCGAGGTTCCAGTTCTTGCAGGAACGATGCGAGAAGGCATGCAGGTCCGGAAGTGGAAAGACGCCCTAGCTTTTGTGGCCTTCTGCCCATGCAAGCTGCGAAAGCTTGATAGAGGGATCTTCTTTGCAAAGCCGTGGGAAGAAACGGCCACTGCGAACTCGTGGCCTGTGGAGAAATGTAAAGGAACACTCGCGAGCGCCACAAGAAGCTTTTCCCACCTTGGTCTTTCAAAGCTCCGTGGGGAACAGCCATGACCTGTGCGACACGCAGCTCTTGGCACTGCAAAATAAACGCATTTCTTCCAAACAAGGCGAATCAGAAGCAGGCAGAGGCAATGCAATCGTCTTCTGGCAACTTCGGTGCCAGCTCAGCAATGGGCACCTGAGCGTGGCAAAGTCTTCAGCTGACAGTGATTCTTGACGTCGCTTCGTTCGGGCATTCCCCTCCCGAGGCTTCGACTGGCGGGCGCTTTCCGTGCATGAGGGGCACGTCCAGGGCCTGTCGCCGATCTTCTCACTTGACCGCAATTTCAGAAATGAGAGGCCTGCCTGCATCCGGAAAACATATCCTTTGCGCGTGAAGGCCAGAAGCGCGTCGAATTCCCGACACACAAAGGCCTGAAGAGGGGGGCCGGGACGGTGGCTGAGTCATACGTGTCCCTCTGCTCTTGTCTGCATTGCGGTGGATTCGCTTTTCGTCCCAGCTGTCGCATCAGCGCAGCCACACTAAAGCACATGTGAATGTACAGGTGACACTCACTCCTTCAATGGGCGCTGTTGGCAAGGGTTTGCTCAGCGCCGAGTGGTCTTGCTGCTGCTGCTGCAAACAGTCATCTCCTCTGACTGTTGCGACACATGTTCTCGGCCGCGACGTAGGCCTCCCTGTCTCTGATGTAAGAGGAAGACTCGAGCACGCCAGTTTCAAAAAGCACCGCTTTGTGCAGATGCTTTCCGTGCACAGCATCGATCTCATACATTGCAGCTGCACTGACATAGTGGAAGGTCAGGTCCTGCTTGTGCAGCTTCGACTCATCGACTTCCCATGCATGCAGACCGGCAAGGTTTCCTCGGAACGATGCATCCATGAGCATTCGGGGAACGCCGCCCGGCTGTCTCATTCGGACTAGGAGTCTCCGAACCCACGCATGTCATGAACATGGTACTGGTAGCTATGCCCAAGAGACGGATGGGTATATCCCGTTTCGCGGCAACTCGGCAGTTTGCCACGTCGCCCCAGCCACCAATGGCCTCGGCTTCTGACCTCTGCTCCTGGAGGAAGGCCTCCCGACCTCCCAGGAGAGCAAGCTCTTACTTCCTTGAACCCCCCAAGAAGCGATCGCAACACACCCTTGTTGCATTTCGTGACAACAAAAACAGCCCGCCTTGGGTCAAGAAGGCCTTCAGGGCAGCTCGGCTAAAGACCTGCCCTCCGCCCCCACAGAGGCCGCCGGCTGGACAGTCCAACATTCCGCATCCTCACACAGCACGTCTCTTCACTCATGGAATCTTCTGACCGCAATACATCGAAATACATAAACACAGGTTAAACTGTAGTGACAATCCTCGAATTCGAAGACTGCGCTTCAACTGCATACGGAGTTCACAAGAAGCCTGGAATTCTCTGCTACTTCCTGGGTTGCATGACTGTAGGGAGACTTCGCAAGCCCGGAGCCTCTGATGCCCAGGACGAGAGGTTTTGCAGGGTCGAATCTCGTAAGAGCCTTCTCGAAATGGGCTGGCAGAACATAGTTGTCCGTGCCCAGAAGCACGACCCAGTCTACGCCTCAGGGGACAAGGGAAAACAACCCTAACACGTCAGAGCAGGACTGCAGGCCTCTCTCGTAGGCGTTGGCAAGGCCGACGGCGTCTTTGCAGGCACCGCCCACATGGCTGTCCGGACACTCCCGCGCCGCATCCCAAAGCACCGTCTTCGCCTGCATGAGTTTCATGGCCCTTGCAATGGCTCGTAGCACTTCGGAGGGGCCTCCACCGGGCTGTCCTTGGCACCAAGGCCAATGACCTGGATCTCACCTTCGCCAAGGCTGTTCTGTTCTGTTCTCCGGGGCCTGAGGTGCGTGTTAAGCACCCCGCGCCGGATGGCGCACCCCTGTGTTAGGGGGCCTTGTGGGGGCTTTCAAGAAGATATGGATGCTCGGTTTCCGGTAAAAAGATAAAGGCTCTCCCCTCTCTCTCTCTTTTTCCACTCTGAAAATGACTGGGCCTTCCTGGAGCTTGGAGGCCCAGGTCTCAAGGCAAGCCTGCAGCTCAGGCAGCTGGTGAAGACCCGCACCAATGCCTCAGAGCCAGGCTCAAGGACAAGCAAGGAGTATCAGAAGCTCACATCACCTCTGGTAACTGCTGTGGTGGTGGTGGAGGGAGTCAAAGGGATGCTGCCCGGATGCTGTACAGGATCCTCGAAGCCCCGTGACCGCGGTGTGTCTCGTTCACGGGAACAAAGATCTTTTGCATGTCTCGCTGGCTCTGGAGCAGACATACCTTCCAGAAGCATCTGGCAGACTTTACATGTGCCAAGCATGACAAAAAACCACCATCCCCTTTTTAAAGGGACTGATGCCGTGAGCCATGGAAGTGACTGTGCCGAAGTCAGCCCACGCTGTGGCACCGGTCAACAGCTCAGGCCAGTAGCCCCTGTAACCCAAAGCCTATAGACAAGCTCAGAGCCACTGGCCTGCTTCGTAGCTGGTCGTCGTAAAAGCTCTGTCGCATGCAACTCTGCCCTCTCGCCAGCTGAAGTCCAGAGATGTGAAGTTAGTATCGCCATGGCTATGGCCGCCATGGCCAGCAAATCGCGTGAATGGGAAGGTGCCGCCTTTTCTTCGGCTCGCTATCAGGTCTGAAATGGCTTTCTGGCTCTTCCAACTTATTTCAAACGCACATACACAGACATACACAGGCCAAGCCCGCAACTCTCCGGATAAGCTCTTGTGATGAAAACGGTGGTGCCATGAGAAGCCGACGGCGCTGATCGCATCCGGCAGCTCCTCATCGCCATCCGCTTCCATCTCCTCTTCCTGTGGTGCCGAAATGAGCCGAACAACGTCCACTGAGCACAGGCAGCAGGTGCTGGTGTGAGGCCTCTCCCTCGTCCCCGCCTTGGATACAAAGGGTTGTTTCTTGCGCGATAACATGCTTTAAGAATCGTTCTCCTGAGACGCGTGCTTGCCGGAGCATCCTTGGCCTTCTTCTTTTTGTGACCAGCAATCGACTTCCCGGCGCCACCGCAGCGAACAGCCTGTCAAAGATGTAACGACCGGATGTGGCAATCCAGATGCGAGGGAATCCATCCTTCCACTCAGCCCGCACGGCACCTTCCATTTGTCCGTGCGGATGCGCTTGATCTGAGAGAAGCCATCACTCACGACCAGAACCTCGGATCCGGCGGGTGATCCAGCTAGACTTGTCTTCACAGTGGGGAATGAAGCTTCATGTTCATGTCCTTGGAGTCGGACACACTGACGATTCACAGAGGCATCATCCTATCAACAAGAGTTCTGAGCTTCCCCCCTCAGCTCACAACTTAGCAAGCAAGAGAGAGAGAGAGGAGCAGTGCCCCTTTGGACCTCGAAGTAGCCGGCCTTCTTCATGAGCCGTGCCTCGGCTCCCACGGCGAAGCGGTGCCCTTCTCATCTCTTCGAGCTCTCTGAGCTTTGCGGCTGCCTCTTGCTGCTCCTTCCGCTCTTCGGCCTGACACTGCTGGAAGCATCCCATTCCATTATTCTAACATTACGTAATATAGAAATGATACCATGGGTTCATTGGAATGAATATTGAATAGCATGGTCATCGGCTTGTTGCGCTGGGCCTCCACGACGTCCAAAGCGGCCTCCAGCCGGACCAAATCCATCTCCTCACGAAGCCATGCAGAGTTGCAGACGGATGCATAGGCGCCATCATACTGGCTTCGAAGATAAACCCCAGCGCTGAATAATTCCTGAATCCTAAGCCCTCAACCTTAAACACCCAATTTTTCTGGGGCCCACTCCCACAGCTGCTCCAGGCTGGTTGCCTGAGGCCGCAGATCGGAAAAGATGGAGGAGACCTTACCCTCTATCATATCATCTTGTACTGTGTACCATATTATCACATCAGCTTTCTATGCTACACGACCTTATATGAACATGCTCAATACTCTAAACTTCAAACCCTGAACCGCCCTTGGCTCGGCCTTGAGGTCCTCGAGCTCCTGGCGCTTTGAGGCCAGCTGCCGCTGCAAGGCTTCCAAGCGCTCCTCTCCGAGGCTTCTTTGGGAACCAATACTTTCAGATCATATGATGTGATAGTTAATATGATTTCACATGATCTGATATGATATGATACAATATGATAGCGTATGCTTTAATATCATATGACATACCATAGGGTTGTACAAAAAACGTGTGCCCTTTGTAGAACCCGGGTCCTCCGTGAGGGTCCAAAGCTTGAGCTTCAGCAAGTAGTCGTAGCCTTGAGGTCCTGCCTGCAAAGCACGAGCAGGCTTCCTCACACGCTGTCCATGCGCAAGTCGTGGCTGTCCAGATCCACATCGGTGTCGGTGACATCAATCACGACCCGCAGTCGCCGCCTCAGCAATCTCACTCTACCACGGCCTCGGAGCATACCGCCGCTGCGGCTGGGAACTCGACGAATTTCGAGCTGCAGTGGGTTTCTCTTCGACACCGGCCTGTGTCAGAACAGCATGCAGCCATTCGTTGCAATGCGGATATGTGAATATCTGACCAAATCACCTCGATCTCCTGCTTCGTCCGCAGTCCAAAGCGCTTCATGTCGTTGCACACCTCTTGAAGCTGTCTCAAGATTGCAACATCAAAGGGCAAAAAACACACTGAAGTCACCGCCTTTCGAGAAGCCCGGTCTGCAATCTGGCGCGGGGCGGTTTTGAAAGCAGACGAGAGCTCTGCGCTGCCATCATCCGACCTCCAGCTCGCCATCCACCACCAAGCGAATGAACTTTGCCTTGTCGGTCAGAGTGGCCGCCTTCGAACTAAAGCTCCGACGGGCAGGGAACGGCCGGGGACGGCTCTTCTATCGGTCCTCGCTCCATCCGCGCCTCCTTCTGAAGCTTTTCGATGCAGTACTCTTTTCTCTTCCCGTACTGCTCCAGGCGAACCTGCCAAGCAAGAACCGGCATTCCAGCTTTAGTCCACGCAACATAAAATATGCTGATCCCCGCAATGGGTGGAACCTGCTGCCCTTGCATGTATCCCTTGCTGCTCAGCTGCCGAAACAGCGGCAGCACAGAATACTCCGGGCTCAAATAACTCTTGATACCTGCGTCTAGCGGAGGCCTTCGCGAAATCTTGCAAGATCTCCTCGGGCGATTCGTATTTCTTCAACTTTCCACCTGGGCGGCGTAAATTGGATGCTGGTGATGCTCAAGACACCAAAGAAGCTTGAACCGCCAGAGTAAGCCCAACTCTGGCATCAAAGAGGTGCATGTTCGTAGTCGAGATTGTGGACCTGCACAGATATGGAACGCACGAGGGACACCATCAGGTTTCTCTCAAGACTTGCATCCAAGGATCTTCAAGTGGAAGAACTTCTCCAAGCCACGCCCTTCGGCTAGAGCCACCTGCATGCGGCTGTGAACTTGGAGGCTCACGGGCATCCGAAACACTGTCCTTGTCAGGAAGCATGGCCAAGCTGAAGTGAACCGTGTTGTCCTGGGACCACATCTTGGAGCAAAGGTGCTGGCATGCTTGCAGACAAGCAAGTGCTGCGATGGGTGACCTGCACGTTTTGATCAACAGGAGTATCGTCACTCAAGAACCAATTATAAACACAAAAAGCTCTCATCTTCGAAATACACACGCCGCCGACTCATGAGGAACCAATCCGCCAACGCTCTGGGCAACAAAACTCACCCAAAACACACAAGGAGTGGTTTATGCACAGGGGGCGGCCTCACAAAAGCTGACTGGATGCTTGCAGTGTTTAGTCTCCCACCGTATGGTACTCGCGGAACTCCGAAATCGTGGCTCTCTTTCCGTCATCGGCCTGCGACACAGGTAAAATGCACGAACACACATCTCCTGCGCCGCAGGCTGAGTCGCGATTCCCGGAAACTCAAGAAGAAGAGATGCTGAAAACAGCCGCAGCCAGCCTGGAGCTGGTCCATTATCCACTCTTTGTAATCCTGGATGCTCTCACTTTCTCCCCCAGATGCTGAAAAAATTCTGGTGTCCACTGGCTCTCCTGGGTCCATTTCCTCACTGGCAGCTCAGTGACTTCGATCCGTGTCGAGCCGTGCCTCTGAGATCACAGACAAAGCCCCGGTTTAGGGTTTAGGGTTTAGGGTTTAGGGTTCCTGACTCACGCTGGGCCTCTGCACGACTCCGACGGTCTCGTATCGCCCAGGCTTGTCTGTTGCAGCTACAGTGCCGCGGAATCCACGATACCTCGACTTTGCGGCGTGGCTTGGACTGGATCCCAGAGAGCCCAATACAACTTAATTAAGGAATATACCTTAAATCATAGTATTAAGGCCCCCATTCTTTAGGTGTATTTCCTCATTTTAAGGGGTATTGGCCTCTCTGGGGTCTTCGGAGGTGAAAGGACTCCAGGTAGCGGACCAGGGGGTCAGCGGCTCGAGAGGCTCACCCCGCAGGTGCCGCCGGACCTCACCGGGCTTTGAGTATATTACATTATAAATATATCTCGTAATATCTCGTGTACTATAGGCTAATAAAAACTATAGTCCAGGATAGAACATAAGACAGAGTCCCGCATGACCCGATAAAATGTAGAAATCACTGAAGCAAGCGTCTCGCTCTCTGCGGCCCGTGCATTTGCGATCAAGTCCCGCGGATTGTAGTTGGGCACACTTGTGCTCCAACCCACACCGATGCCTTCTGATCCGTTTACGAGGACCTCGAAGCATGAAACTGCTGAGCATACTGGCATCTTGTCATTTTCCTCCCTAGGTGTTGCGCAAGATGCTCTCAGATGTCGCAGGGGCCCCAGGCAAGCGGAATCACGGGACAGTACCATCGAGGTTCAATGCGCTGACCCTCTTCGGACTGATACCTCGGCACTTCTCAATCTGCCGGGTCTTCCAACTTCGAGTTCATCCCTGCCGCCGCTCAGCAAATGGCTCAAGGACTGGGTCATCCTCTGAAGGGAAGATGCATCTCGCCTCATTCCAGACGCCAATACGCAAAAATAACACCTGCGCTACCGGGTGCCACACAGCAGGTGATAACTTCGTGAAGATGTATCGAGCAGCAGCGTGGTCCTCAACCATGCAAGTGCCACGGACTTGAGGGCGCGGGGCTAAGCAACTAGAGTTATGGGGGCCCATCCACCTGCGGTGTTCTTCTTTGGCCATGCTCCGTCCGAAAGAACAAAGGTGAGTGCGGCTGGTAGCAACGAGCAACAAACGCAGTCAGAGACACAGGGGATCGCACACGCACATACCAACAAGCACATTGAAAAGCTCTTACACATACGTCACGAAAGTAGAAAACTGCTGTCAAGTTTCCATTTGCGTTAGCACGGTCCTGGCTAGCCCAAATTGATGACATTTTTCGCAGGGCACCGCCCTCCCACTTCCCTTCCTCCCCCATTGACGCCAGTGATTCTAATAATGTGCACTGCGATCGCCCTCGGTCTCTCTGTCGCTTGCTTTCTTTCGCCAGGGCTGGGTGGCTCGCTCTCTCTCGCTCTCTCGCTCTCGGCAGTCCAACCTTCCCACCCTGGTTGCGTGTTCCAAACTGGCCACACGGCCTTGGTCCGTGGCTTCGATTCGCTTACATCTTCGTCAGAATCAAAGGTTTAGTTCTGAGGCAGCGGACTGGAGAAGGTTCACATTGTTGCTCCCAACGAAGTGCTGTGCCTCGGATCTTCAGAACATGCTCACAGAGGACCCAACGAGCAGCTCTGCGATGACTTTTGAGGTTCCGGAGCTTCTTACACCTGAAGCAGTTTCGCAGATTTTATGCCTTGCTGCACGTGCCGCCTGGCACCCGATGCACATATTAAAAGCTTGCTAAGGAATGTGGCTCCATGAACTCGTGTACGAATTCTCCGGTCAGCAGAACCTTCATCTGAGCGTCTGTCTGCAATCCTCCCGCAACTCACCACTTCTGCTGAAGTGCATCTAGATAAACCAAGGTTCAGGCAGCTGCTATTGTCTCAAGTTTCCAGTTCTATGTACAGATGCTCGCGCAAAAGGTTCTCAACAGCATCTGCTTGCAGCACTTATCTTGCAGGTGGGCAACATTGAGCAACCGGCAACAAGTGAGGAGAGCAGCATGCCGGAAGTTGCCGTCTCTCAGATTCTCCAAGCGTGTATGCACGTGTCGAAGATCTCACGAGCCTCACTGTTTGGAAAAGCCCACCACTGCAGGTTCAAATTCATTCGTGAGAAGTGCACATGGCCTGATTCGCAAGTCTCCGACATCAAGACTGTCAGATTCTCAGAGACCGCACTATCAGTGTTGCATAAGGCCTTTGGCCAAGAGACAAAGTAGGGACACTGCCTACATAAGTGCTATAAACGCCGTGAATGCGATTGCAACCAGCGGGGATTGTATCCTGTCTTCGGTGGAGCACACAAGGAGCGACAAAACCTGTGGCCACTGCAGCGCAAAACATGACGAACGTACCCCTGGCTGGCTGAACACACATCAAACTGCAATGAATTCCGTGCTTCAGCTGAGGCTTCGCGCAGCTAACCTCGCAGGGCCGCGGAACACCGCCAACAAGACGATTCCACGGCTGGAGATCTGAGAGCGAGGAAGTGCCACGGACAGCGAAGGCTGCATGAAAAAGAGATATGGAGCAATGCAGGAACGTACTCCGCAAAAGGCTGGTGCCACGGGCTGTGGCACAAGCCAAATGGTATCTTAGAGTTTTAAATCATATGCCCGCCACCGAAGCAATCGACGGCGGCACACGAAGGTCTGAGAAAGTCATCCGGGGGAAGCATGCTGAGATCTCCATCTCTGGTAGCAAGATGAATCAATGATCTAAGTTGTAACATGCTCTGTCATTCGCAAGCTCCCGCCCAGTCTGTTCGGCTGTACACTGGCTACAAGAGTGAAGCTAGTCGCCTGCTCTTACCCAAGTTACACGCATGCGGTCGAAAGTCTCGAAGCCCGACCGGCAGTCTCATGCCATACGTTCCAGGGACCGCGGGCTTCAACCAGGCTGGGATCGCCAGGATCTAGCGGCCAAGCTTGGCCACATCGGCTCTGTCTTCCACCTGGCACTCTGTGATGCAAGGAAGTCTAAACCAGAAGCTTCGGATTCTTCTGGCAACCTCTATCAGTCTCGGCAATCCACCGAAAAAACGAAAGTAAGTGCACCCATACAGCACAATCTGGGCAGCGAAGATCCGGAATACCAAGAACTAGACCTATGATACCCAGGTATCTTGTTTTGGGTGACCCTAAGTCACGGCTCCTCTCCAGCTAAGAGGGTCCGGGGCCCCTTGCAAGCCTCCCGAAGTCCCAGAGCTCTCAACCAACCAAGTGGGGTAAGGCCTCCAATGCCATATGCGGAATCTGTGGGGCTTCACTTGCACGCATGCAATCCCGACACCGAGCAGAATGCTCGAAAATTCAACGTCGTCTTCAATTACAGTCGCCGTACCAACACAACAAACGGCTAGCTCTAGTGGTGGTGGACCAACACAGCTGCTGCTGCTGCTGCTACTACTACCACCACTACTACTTCCACCACTACCTCTCACCACCACAAATATCTCCCCCCCTGCGTGGGCCTCCTATGCTTCTCTGGCACAGAAAACTTAGCACCACTGGGCGGCGCCTTGCGGCGGCGGGAAAGCTTCGCCTGGCCCCGGAGCCGGGCCGGGAGGGTCTCGAGGCTGAGTGGCAGGCCTCAGCCGGGCCAAGCCAAGGCAGTCAGAGGCTTTGGGTTTAGGGTTTAGGGTTTAGGGTTTACGGTTTAGGGTTTAGGGTTTCTTAGTAAGGCTTCGTAGTCGGAACTCTTGGGGGCAAATCTTGGCTGGGGATTTTTAAGTTGCTCTGCGGGTTTCAGACCTTCGCTTCACATTGAGAGTCTGCATTCTCAGCCACTGGGATGCCCGGCAATTCCAGGGCTGCCCCTCGACGCAGCTGGGCAGAAAGATCATGGGCTTGAACCAGGGGTTGTGGATCCGGTTCGACCTCTGCCAGTCTGACCCCGCCCGATGAACGTAACTTCGGCACCAAGGCAAAGGCTGTTGCTGGAGGTACTTGAGGACGTTTGCATCGAAGCCTTGTGTGTCCGCTGGGGTAATCTCCAGCACCTGAGATTCAACCACTCCTGCACATCCACGCAGCTGCTTGCACGAAAAAAACAAGCCTTCATTGTCTTGTACCGCTCGAGCTTCTGGGAGACGAAAGCCTTTGCACCGCAGGGCTGGCGACATTCCCTGAACCCTGAACCCTAAACCCTAACCCTGAACCTTAAACCCTAAACCCTGAACCCTGAACCTTAAACCTTAAGCTTCTCCCTGCAGACTTTGCATGGCCGCCTGCCTGCCGGAAGCGCCGGGCCAACTCCGGGGTGTGGAGGTTCAGGAAGCAGTAGCCCTGTTCGTGCAGCGAAAGGCGAAAGCCGGCTCAGGGTTGAGAGTGCAATGCCTAGGGCATGGGGTGCGATGCTTCTGACATGGCCTGGCCTTGTTGCGCTTGGTCTCGAAATCAATGGGCAGATAGAAGAAGTCAAAGTCCTGAAAAGTGCGAGAACCCTTTGGACCTACAACTTCCTTTCCAATTGTCAACTGCTTAATGCTTCTAAGGAGCGCCGGCGAAGCCCTTCGCCACCAACTCTTCTAAGAGCTCCTCGTGTATCTACGTATGCTGTCCTACCGACACGACGTGCATCCACATGTCGGGAAGTCCTCTGTCGTGTAGCGGTTAGGTATGTTCCTTGCAGTCGGGTGTGTAAGAACGGTGCATATCAAGACATCTGCGGGGACATGCATCTGATTATCTGTGTCGCAAGCTGCCAGGCCTGATCATGACCGAGGTTGTTCCTCACAGACGCCAGGTATGCAACTTGCACATAGACGTGGAGCTCTGCTTCGGTGGGCCTTGCGGCCAGTTCCATTCGCCAGGCGCCTTCGGGGCACTAGGATAGCTAGAGGCTGGAGCGGGTGCGCCTGAGGACTCAACATCCCCGGACGAAGTACTAGGTGAAGGCGAGTCCTTGCCGGCGTCCTCACAGGATGCTAGTGGCTGCAAAGGCAGGCGTCCGAAATAGCGAAACCGTTTGGATCCTGGGAGTTTGCTCTGGACAAATACTCGGCCGCAAAGTTGAAGGGCAGCGACGGACACTTCGGATGGTTGCCTCGAAGCCTCAGCTTCTAGGTTTTGGGGGGGCCAGGATGCGCAAACATGAGATGTCGAACTGTGAAGCCGGCATCGATAAAGACAGCGTGCTCGTCCAGAGTGCTCCGGGCTGCAGCACACTGGTGCAAGGGCCTTCGAGCCGCCAGAAGTCTGCGATTTCGGCGTCAGGCGCATAACTCCCGTGCATGTGGGCAGTTCTCTAACTTAAGGTTCCTTTTAAGTCCCAAAACTGTCAAAATAGTTCAAAAGGACCCTAAAACGGACCCTAATTTAGAGATCTTCACATGTAACTGCCTTGCCTTGACAGTCCAAGCCCAGGCCTGGCGGCGGCCCGATGCAGCCTGAGAAACATGCTCAATCACACATCCTTTGATATATGTATACATAACTATAGGTATATATATATATATATATGTATGTAGATGTGCATGTGTATATATATATATATATATGGTAGCCCCCCCCCATGAACTACCGACCCTCGTTTTGTATCGTAAATACTGTGTTAAACCTGCTTTTCCGGCAGGTCCGGATTCTGTACCTTGCAAAGACTGCCAAAATCAAACTCACATTTCAAGGGAAAGTGCTAGACAACTCGTTCAGGTTCGACGTGAGCACGCACTCAACGGCAACGCTGTA